ACCTTATTTTATGGGCTGACCTAGGGGGGCAGGGGAGTCCATTACTTCAGCTGAAATGGGTATGTGGGTGCAATTACCCTAACCCTGGAACCTGTTGACATTGAAATGAGGAGTATCCTTGCCAGACCACATGAGGGCCGTGGGCCTTAAGATTTGCTGGCATTGACAAATGGGAGGTGCCGCTAACTTGACACAAACCCAGGCACTGGATATCACTAAGCTTCGGATTGCCAGAAGCTGGGACTGGACAACAGGGAATGGGATCCCTCATATAGCCCTGTTCTATTCATTCCCTTTCATGTACCTGGCACTGGCCACTGTTGGAAGACAAGATGCTAGTCTAGATAGACCATTGGTCTAACCCAGTTTAGCTGTTCTTATGTTCTGGTGTTATTTTGAAAGATATTTAAGAGCCAAGATATTAAATGATCACAACTATTTAAAGAGAAGTCATAAACAGCTTTTCTATTTTAGATTGTTGAGAACTTCCTCTGAGGCCTTGTATATGTGGGAACATTCAGGAAAGGGAATCAATTGAAGACTATGCATACATTAAAGCATGCTAAATTGTCACATGGATGCTTTCATTCAACTGTAAAGTGGCGAACTAATAATGACAGTGTTTCAATAGTTTTATGGAAAACAGTTCTATCGAGTAGCGAGGCAATTTGTTATTAATTTTTTAACCTGACATTTTTGGGTAGTCACAGCAAATGAATGGTCTAACTATTATTTGTAGCTTTAAAGAGCTCTCAAATTTATATTAAAATGCCATTATATGTTGTAATTCCTTGTTAGTTGTATTATGTTCCCATTAGGGCTCTTTGAAAATGTTACACTGAAACTTATTTTGATGGAAAATTGGGATTTTGACTGATGCAGGATTTTTTTAAAAAGTGTTAAGTTTTAATGGAAAAACTCCCTTTAATTTCAATGGGATGAGGATATGGTCCTCTCCCTCTACACCTCACTGCAGACCTTCTGCCTAAATGCTTTCCCTGCTATCCGCCAGACTTCTTACTTCAGATTTAAAGAAACAGTACACGTTTGGATGCATGAGGCATGGGACTGATAGAGGAAAAAAAACCCCTTCATTTTAGGTCACTGTTGTCTTTCATAAGTACTAAATTTTCTTGAGTATTTTTTTGAAAGTGAGTATAAAGTATATTTTCTGTGAAAGATCAGAGCAGTATGATCTAACTACAGCTCATAAGCTTTTTATCAGTAGTGCAGCGTAAAAAATCCTAAGTGGAAAGCTACACTTTCCTATACCCTAATCAAAATCTGTCCAGTGAATAACAACAAACACATATATTTTGCAATTTTTTTTATTATTGAATAGTTTCTGCTTCATAGTTTGCTGGAATAAAGGGCTGCACAGTGGACAGTCTATTTGCAATGTGTTTTGTACCTGAAAAGTCATTCTTTAGCCTCTAGGAAATGATATTACTTGCATCTCTTGGAAACTTATCAGGACGAATAAGCTGAGTGATGACTCCATTTTTACAGGAAAGCTGTCTTGACTTCCTGCATAAATTGAGATACTATCTCCCCAAGGCGATCGCCAAGTCCCTGTACTTCTGAGTATGTGAATGATATGTGATGGAGACATTAGCCAATACAATTTCCCGTGTGGGGTGTTGAACAATGAGAGTGATGCCTTGATGAGGAAGCTGGTGGACAGCTGAGGACTTCAGTAATTTGTCCCTAAACTCTGTTTATGAGTCTAACTCTTCTCATGGCTGACAACTTTGCTTCGGAAACTTCAGCTGAGCCTGAACTAGGAGATCAGATTGCCTCATCCAACTATCAAACACTAAGAGTCAGAAAGGCCCTAAACATTTGTAATACTTCCACACTGTCATCCTGAAGGGTCACAGTCTAGTTGTGAGCTGGCAGAAGAATCCATTCTGAATCAACAAAATAGATTTTTATTTTCATTCTTAAATATAATCAGGTACAGATAAATGTTTCTATTCAATGAATATATTGCGCTGTTAGTTGTGTGGCATGCTGGCGGTGTTAAAACATTAAACTTTCAAATCAAAGGAAAAACTAAAAACAAAACATTTCCCTTTCTTCTTCCTCTTATAATATAAACAAACAGAAGGACCCTGATATGTTGGCAATCTATTACTCCCTTCTCAGCAGAACCTTTCTAATAAAATTAGCAGCAAATGAGATTTTTTCTAATCAATATTATATTCCCTTAGAAATAATTTTCAGTTCCATCTCATAATATTTAAACACAGCTAACCTATTTGTCACTGATATAAGGGTAAATGCAGTCAATTACATTAAACCTCTGTCATAAGCTTTTTGTTGAATATGTTTCTCTTTAATGGCCAAGCATGATTCAATCTGTGAAACAAGTTTTTCAGACATAGTAATTAAATAATTCTCAACTAGATTTGTGAGTAAAAAAAACCCCATTCCTTTTATAAGGACATATTTTGTATTAATATTTCCTCTTTAAATATTTATTCAGTGCAATAAAGCCATTAGACACATGGTGACTCTTTCTTTCAATGAGTGCATTTCTAATGTAATCTTATTGCAGTATTCCAAGAACATTTGTGGAGTTATGGGTTAGAGCTTCAAAAAAGATGCAGGGATCCTATTTTACAGCTCTGCTACTGATCTGTTTTGAGATTTGGGATCCGACACTTAACATATATATATCTGCTTATCTGCAAATTGGATAGAATCACACTATTCATATGTCTAAAGTCAGTAGAAGTGCTTTGAGACCCTTAGATAAAAGATACTTTGAAAGTTCAATATATTACAAAATAGTTTGTTATGGGTTGGGCTAAATATCATTATGGGTCAGGTATGGCTGTGGCTGCTGCTTTCCATTCAAAATTATTGTAAAGAAGTTGTTATACTCAAGTAGCTCGAGCAAAGGCAGCAGCACCTGAAACCAGGCACATAGAATCACTGATTAGAGGCTGATTCATGTGACCTGAGTATTTTAAAATGCCAGGGCTTGGGACTCTGGGTAGTGAGGATGTATGCATGAGAGGGGAGGAAGTCAGATTAGGTGAGACAGAGGACAAGAATGGTGTATGACCCTGGAAGAAGCTAGAGAGAGGGCTACTGTGGTAGATGCTGGCTAAAGGCTTGGGGCTGTAAGCAAAGAAGTTATCCAGTATTTTTTTGTTCCTCCTGCACTGGGAGAAGCAGTACTTTTTATATGCTTTATAAATAAAGCTGAATTAAAAAAAAAACTTGAACTTGCTGAAGAATAACATGCAGAGATGGACACGTAGATCTGTCCCTGCAATACTTCCATTGTGAGAATGCGATACCCATCGCCTTCCTCCCCCAGTTCTGCTATCCCTGCCCCAATGAAATGGGAAAGCAGGGAAAAAGAAGGTTGCAGTAATAGGAGATAATTGATTCATGAATGCACCTGTTAGCCATAAGGAATGACAGGAGGATATGGTAACTGAGATTATATGAGCAGATAGGGGTAAGGAACAGAGGGAAGAGAAGTGAAGAGCAGATTTAGGCCAAAGCCTTGTAGGACACTGCCAGAGAGGGAATGAGAAGTAACTACCAGAGGAGATACTGAAAGTGATCTGAAGCCAGCTCTACACTATGTGACAAAGTCAACCTACGGGTATGTCTACACTACCACCCTAGTTCGAACTAGGGTGGTAGTATAGACATACCCTACGATACACAACTCCAGGAACAAGACTAGTCAAGCTGGGTTTGACATACCTTAAGTTGAATTTTTGTGGCAACCCTATTGCAGAAGGTTGATGGGAGAAACTCTCCCGTTGATTTCCCTTACTTCCCATGACCCTATGGAGTACCAGGGTTCATAGGGGCACAATCAGTGGTCAATATAGTGGGTCCTAGACCCATTAAATCGAACATTGGGAGATTGATCTGTGGAGCATCAATCTCAGGTTAAGTGTAGACCTGTCATAAGGGGGAAAAGGAAAAGTAGAAGTGTACAGAACTGCAGAAGTGAAGTAAGAGGGAGGGGGGGGGGGGGGGGGGGGGGAGGTGCTGCAACAGGGATTTACAGAAAAATCAAAGATAATGAGGATGGAGAAGAGCCCTTGAGGTTGTGCCAAGCAGGGATCTATATACATACTGCTGAGAACAGATTCAAAAGAGTGAAGATAACAAAATGATTTGGAGGAGATCCAGTGGGCAATTAGAGGGGAAGATGTCAGGCCAGCTGTTGTATATGAGTCATTCAAAGAGCGAAGGAGTGGAAGATAGAGTTGGTTGGAATGTTTTCATCAAAATGTGCTGTTTTGCTGAAGCTAGAATAGTTTATAGGGACACAGCTGTTTCCGTGAAACTTCTGATTGGAAAATTTTTGGATGAAAATGAATGTATGTGTTTGTGTTTTATGGTTGAATGGTTAGATTCCTGGCCTGACCTAGGATTGAGTCTCTGATTTGGGGTGAACAACTCTGCTCTGAATCAGGCAGAAGAGGGACTTATACCTAAATTTCATGCATCCCAGGATAATATCACCTACCCACTGTCAGCTATGTTTTTGTTCCACTACAAAACAAATTTCAAACATTGCAGTGAAATGGAATTTTCCTCCTCCTGTCAGCTATAGTGGAGAATGGGATGGGGAATGGGGTAGTAAATTGCAAAAGCAGAAATAAGTCAAGGGTGTTTTATTTGCTTTAAGAATAAGGCTATGTCTACACTATAAGAGTGATAGCAGCATGGCTGTGGTGCCGTAACTGTTCCATTGTAACGTAGACCCATGCTACAAGGACAGAAGGGGATTTCTGTTTCTGTAGTACAGCTGTCCCCTCAAAAGGCAGTCGCTAGGGTTCATTAAATCATTCTTCTGTTGAGCTAATGGTGTCTATACCAGAGTTTACATTGACTTAACTCTGTTTATCAGGGGGTGTGAAAAAATTGCAAGATGGCTAGGTTGACTTACTTTTTATGTGTAGATGAGGCCTAAACTGAGATTTAAAATAGTCTTCGTAATGTTTTGCCTTTTGTTACAGATTGTTCACAGAACCCTAGCAGCCATGTTGGGCTCTTTGGCAGCTTTAGCTGCACTAGCTGTGGTTGGTGAGGTAAGTTGCAACATTTCAAGTATTCAGTTTATTTCTGTGCATTGTATCATAAAACCTTAGTGAAAACGGTGTCATGTGCAGCAGCCTTTATGGGACTTAAAATGCTGCAAGAACAGTATTTGCGTAGTTAGTGAATTCCTGTTCTTGGGGCCATTGGCCATGAAAGAGTTATGCAGTCTTGGCTCCAGATGGGTAAAAAGAGAAGGCCAACTTAATGGCATGATATTTTGATTTTGCAGGAACTTGTGTACAACCATTTTCAGCTTTATTCAGCTTTATTCCACTACTGTGTGAAGTAAATGGGCCTTGGTGAGGCCTAGTCAGTCTAACCTTCAATTTTCTTAGGTTCTGCAACTTTTAATTTTTCTAGCTTGTGTAAGACTTATATTAGTAGAGCTGTAGATGAGCTAAGGGATAACCTTTTTCTCCATCAGGCTATGTAAAACCAATAGTTTTCCATTTTTTACCAGTAATCTCTTATATTTTCAAAAATACTGAGAGAATGAAGGTCTGACTAGAAGTATGAGTGACACGAGACTATAGTAGGCCATTAGGTTACTTAAACACATCCAGAATATACAGAAGATTAGATGAGTTTTGGCCATATTCATCTCCACAGAGGAGTGGGTCTTATAACTGCATCTGTGAAGTCATCTGCTTCTGATCCCATATTTTTTATATTCCTGGAAGGATCTTTTCTAGTGGTTCAGTGATGTATATTGCCAGTAAGAACTTCCCAGATAAAGAAAGATCATCCTGCCTATCCCTCAACTCTGATTGCACCATATCATTGGGATATGAAGCTTGTAACATCTGATTTGCTTGAAAGTGCTCTGGGTAGGTGAGGTTGAATGGAGTGCATTAGATTCACAACCTTAAAGGTCTAGGTACCTCAAAGAAAGTGTGATCCTTCCTGGGCCATCACAACTCTAAGAAGAGTTGTTGATGCTCTTTCTTCCTGGTAGGAGAAAACCATGAAAACAACATCTGACCAGACAAGTGCCTGAGGAAGCCCACCAGTCAACAAAAGATACTGAGATCGGAGGCGACATCACATGGTCCCTGTTCTGCAGTTTTGATGTTCCAAAGATCAACAAGCTAAAAAAAAAATTCAATGTTTTTTCTCTCAGGCTATGTCTATGCTAGCACTTAGAAAAACAGTTCCCAGACTGATGTAAGTTTCATTTACAAAAGCACCAATGCAGGTTACAGTGTCAGCTGGAGTCATTTTCCCACGGACACAGCAACCACCACTCATTGGCACAAAGTGGCTACACTGAAGACTTTACAGTGGTGCAGCTGCAGTGGTACCATGGTGCCCCTGTGAGGTCTGTGGTATAGACATGGCCTAAATAACTATTTTCAGTTTTGTTCCTATTTCAAATCTCCCTGGCTAAGATGCTTGGTACCTGTATTGCTTTTTCTCCAACGTTTCAGAAGTATGAACAAAAATGCAGGTGTGTGTATGTCAAAGAAATAGCACATGCTTATTCTAATCTACAGTAAATCCTAGATTTAATTGCTTCATGTCCCATTGTGTTATAAAAGTATCTGCCCCCAAAGGGTAAATTATGGGTTGTTGATCACTTTGTAACAGAGAGAGATTATTAGGTGTGGAAAGATCTATCTGTAGAAAAATAGGGACAACATTATTCAGTAACTGGCAACTTTAAAGAAATCTGGTAACTGCTTCAGGTGCTTAATTAAAAAGCAGACCATGACACCTTAAGTTTGTATAAGAATAGATCACATGGTACGTTAACTCCATGGTTTAACTCTTAATTGTGTTCATCCAACGATATGGTCAGTTGTTGATACCATTCCATTATTGTCAATTTGTTGATTTATTCAATTCCAATTGTAATTTTGATTTTGACAGTTGTGATATATAAGCCTTGATTAATATAGTAAAAAATTTAAGAGATTTAGTTAGAAGTTTACTTAATTTTAAGTTTGCTTTATTTTAATTTGTAATAAATCTTTTAAAATCATAAAGCTGTTTTTTTCTCAAAATAGCAAAAGATGACAATACTCACAGCTTGGGGAAAGTAATGTTATAAGGTACACAAGAGCTCCTTGTTTCTGTCTGTCAACAAATACCTTTATTCCTTACAATTTCATCATGTTCAGCTGTATTGGGTTTCCCATGTATCTACTGGTTACATTGCCTTGGGCCACATAAGTGGCGTTGGTGATGTTTACACCTTTCAAATATTTTTATCTTCCCCTTGCTCCTTAACTGACACACAGAAAAAGTATATGTACTTATTAGTTCTTTTAATCTTTCCTCATAAAACAGCCCTTATATCCTCATAACTACTCTTTTCTGTATTTCCTCCAATTTGTCTACAGGTGAAGCTGAATTATCATCTTCTGTTAGAAGAAAGTAAAGTGCAATCTATTAACCAGGTTTTTTTTCCTTGTGAGAGAAATAAGCAAACTAAAAAGCAAATGTAGGTGCTAGATAATAAGTCATTCAGGCTATCGGCAGTTTTCAGAGATAATAGAAAAGAGCCGCATTTGGATATTCTGCAGAAACACTAATTAATTTCTATCACAGCTAATTTATATAGTTCACCAATTAAGTGGATTTTGCAGTTCTGTAGCTAATCACTAGTTAGGTGATCCAGAGAATTAACTGATAATTGTATTGTTTGATTTGCAGAGACCAAGCATGGTCAAAGTGGTGGAGTGGATTGATTATGAAACTCTGGCGCTGTTGTTTGGAATGGTAATTAAAATGTAACATTTGCTTTTAAAGTGCTGGACTACTTGTAGTCAATGTTTCACAGTTTCTTTTTATTTGTTAGTATCTTTTTAACTGAGAGGTGTTCTTTGGTTTATTTAGAATGTTTAAAAACTAAAAGCACTCAAGAACTAAAAGAAAAAGAGGCATTTTCAGTGTGCAGCGGCAGTCAAAAAAAGCAAATAGAATGTTAGGAATAATTAAAAAAGGGACAGAGAACAAGACCAATACTATCTTATTGCATCTATATAAAACCATGGTATGCCCACATGTTGAATATTTCATACCGATGTGGTTGCCTCATCTCAAAAAAGATATAATGGCATTGGAAAAGGTTCAGAAAAGGTCAACAAAAATGATTAGGGATTTGGAATGGGTCCCATATGAAGAGAATTAAAAAGACTTGGACTTTTCATCTTAGAAAAGAGGAGACTAAGGGGGGGATATGATAGAGGTCTATCGTGTGGAAAAAGTGAATAAGTAAAAGTTATTTACTTATTCCCACAATATAAGAACTAGGGGTCACCAAATGAAATTAATAGGCAACAGATTTAAAACAAACAGAAGGAAGGTTTTCTTCACTCAGCACACTGTCAACATCTGGAACTCCTTGCCAAAGGATGTGGTGAAGGCTAGGACTTTAACAGGGTTCAAAAAAGAGCTAGCTGGATTCTTGGAGGTTAGGACCATTAACGGCTATTAGCTAGGATGGGTAGGAATGTTTTCCCTAGCCTTTGTTTGTCTGGACATGGATGACAGGAGAGGGATCTCATGAGGATTACCCATTGTGTTCCCTCCCTCTGGGTCATCTGGCATTGGCCACTGTAGGCAGACAGGATACTGGGGTAGATGGACTTTTGGTCTGACCCAGTATAGCCATTCTTACGTTCTTATTTTGGAAATTGTTGGTATCTGTTTCTTACTCCCATAAAATTGGAATGATAAATAAAACTAGATATCTAGCTGATTTTTTGGTTTGCTGAGTCAGAGTATGTGAGGTAATTTCTTTTATTGGACCATCTTCTGTTGGTTAAAGAGAGAAATTTTTGAGCTTATACAGAGATCCCCTTCAGGTCATTTTTTGGTTTGCTGGCAGCTCTGAAAAATTGAAAAAAAAATTGAATTGATACAAAATTAATGTGAAAATGATGTTTTTGAGTGTTTTAAGTGATTAGATCAGAAAAAGAACTGGAAGAGGTGTTATCCTTATATCCTTTAGCCCAGAGTTTAGGGTGCTCACCTTGGATGTTGGAGGCACTGGTTCAATTCCCCTCTGCCTGATGGGAATAGAGATTTGAAATTGGTTATTCCACATTACAGGAGAACATCCTAGCCATTGGGCTCTGGGATAGCCAGATGTGGGATTCTCTCACGGGGTGAGGGGGTATGTCTACATAGCAGAGCTAAAGTAATATTAAGCTACACAATCTCATCTACGTTAATTGTGTACTTGAAGTTGAAATAGCTCAATTCGGCTTTTGGTGTTGTCTACACAGCAGGAGGTTGAAGGAAGAACACCCTTCCTTCAACTTTTTTTACTCCTTGTGAAAGGACGGTTACAGGAGTTGGAGTAAGAAGTCTTCCAGCTTGACATTATTTTGAAATAAAGACTTGTAGTTAGTTATTTTGAAATAATGTTAGTTATTCATAGGCTTTATTCTGAAATAATGCTGATGTGTAGACGTACCCTACGTTATTTCAGCTGTTCTAGTTGTAAAAATAATTAAATATGCATGGACTGAAAATTGGATCCCCCTTCTCATAGGTAAGTGTCCCATTAGTTTACAGAATCAGTTTTGCTGCCTTTCCCTGGCCCAGTGACTATTCTCTGTATTATTAATGGCAACAAATAATCACTCTGGCCAGGGGAAGAGATATAGCTTTGGAGAATTTGAACTTTGGTCTCTCAGAGCCATAACAATTGGGCTAAAAATTATAAGGAGATCATCAGGTGCCACCCCTTCAGCCCTGAATAAAAAAATCTATGACTTTGAGAGAGAGTCACAAATATTTTTGAGTCAATTGGAACTGCATTTTGGGGTTAATAAACTATTCATAAAAAATTGCCCAATTTTAGGGACAGCACACCTCCCTCTGAAAGAATGTTTGAGATCTATAAGGAAAAAGGCCTCTATACATGCCAAGTGTTATCACTGGGACAAGGAGGGTAATACTTTTCATTGGACTAACTTCCATTGGTGAAAGAGAAAACTTTTGAGAGTGTTGTCACTCTCATTCTTCTTGTTAATTTTATTTGCACTAAACCTTCCTCAAACATACTTGACTAGAGAAAATGTTTCCCTTTGTCTTAATCAGTCTTCTATTATAAGTCTGAATGTGCAATTGGACAAAAACATATACCTGTCTCGACTATAATAATATATCAGTTATATGACCAACTCTACTCATATGAATCTGTTATCCTTTTGAGACTGAAATATGGTATGGTGTCATAAATGGACAAAATCCACTGCCAGCTATATCTGCTGCTACCTATGAATTTTAATGACTTTCTTCATCTATAAAGACTGGGGGACCAGGCACTCTCCCGGAAATATGGGAATGTTTAAATCATCCTAGGGAGTTGGATGTCTTCTGGACTCCACAGAGCACTGCCGAAGAAAATAATTGTAAACTAATGTCCACTTTTGATTAGTGAGAAGGACAGAGATACTTGCAACACGTCTACCAAGTAATTAGAACTGAAATACATCTCTGTAAAGAGGCTTGCACAAGGTGTATGCATCCCTTAAACCATGAAATAGGGCCTCGCCCCTACTGCACAGATGTAAATTTTACCCTAAATGCCAGTAATAGAAACCTGACTTCTGCTGCATGGCATCCTGATTTTCAGTTGATGTCCCCTCAAAAAACAGGACCAAAATTGTGGAAAAGCCATAGGACTCCTTGTTAAAGCATCACACCAAATCACTGTAAATAATTTTATTCTTGTTTCTTTACCTTTTCCTGTAGATGCTTCTAGTGGCCATATTTTCAGAAACTGGATTTTTTGATTACTGTGCAGTAAAGGTAAGTTAGTGGTGACATCTCACATTTATAGTTTTTATAATACTATATTTATATTACTGCAACTGTTACATATTTATTGAATTAATAAAACTGTTGCTTAGTCAAACCTATTAGAGTAAACAATATCTTTAAAAGCATTTTTGCAAGGGCACTTTACATATACCATACTTGAAAGAATAGTGGTCAATTTATACATTTTTAAGGAGCTAAGTATGGAAGCTTTTCAAGGAATGGTATTTTGATAAGTCCAAAGACCCTGACTCAGTAGGGTACTTAAGCACATGCATAATTTTAAGCATGGGAGTAGTCCCAAGTGTTCCAATGACTTCCCATGGACTGGGTGTAACAGAGCTGGGCTTCAGGCATACTCATCAGTGGCCAGATGAGTGCTCCAGATGAGGGCAAAGAGAAGGTGTGAATCTGACCACTAGTTTATATTTATATATAATTAATGGCCACAGACCTCTATGTAGGAGTTGAACCAAAGACTCGCTGTTGTTCTGTGTAGTTTAGGCTGCACAGCCCATGGATTGAGAGAATAAATTCAGTACTCAGTCATCCCATACATAGTTTCCAATGTAAAACTTGTTTACTTAGATTATATTCAAGGGAGTTAATTTCCATATAAATATAAGCAGAGAAATACAAGATTTGGAATTAAAGCAAGAGAAAATAGGAAACTAATATTCTGTTCCTAGTTCTACCGAAGATTCCCTGTGTGACCTTTAGCAAATCACTTAATTGCTCTGAACCTATTTCCTCATCTGTAAAGCAGCAACATTTTCCTACTTCCCTAGAGTTGTTAAATTAATTACTGTTTGAAAAGCATACTGAGATCTTTGGAAAAGAAGTGACTAGTATAACCAATGTTCCCCAATCATTGTTGCACCATCTTTTATAAAGTTGTTCATTGGTTATTTCTGAAAATGAAATTGATATGTTCCATGCCTTTATGTTGTTGCTATTTGTTTGGTTTTATTAGGCTTACCAACTCTCTAGAGGCAGAGTGTGGGCCATGATTATCATTCTGTGTCTTATTGCTGCAATTCTTTCTGCATTTTTGGACAATGTTACCACAATGCTTCTCTTTACTCCAGTAACCATCAGGTATTTTATTTTATGCTTTTGGTGTTAGTTGGTTATAGCTAGCCATCGCTAGTTGGTGTGTATCAGAATAATATTTTAGATCTTGTGTTCAGCAGTTTGAATTGATCTTACAACCCTGAATGTTCTGACCATAATTAGTATCTAGAGTTGCAATTTTTAAAGAGTTCAGCTTCCTTATTTTCATGTATCAGTTGTGAGCACAAATATTCAAGTACTTACTTGCAGAGATAGTTAAATCTGTATGTAGGTACAGATGGAAGTACTCTTGACTTGTGCCCACAGTTAAATTGCAATGGGAAATTCTGCCAATCATTTCATTCAGGGGTGCAGGCAAATTGCTCTTGCAAGTAGGGGTGCTGGAATTTTTGAACAAAACTCAAAAACCTTGTGTTTTCATATATGGACTAATATTTATGCACAATTTTGCTTTCTAATGGATGAGTTAAAGAAACATGAATCCCTGTTAATATTAATGACAAATGATGGAAACTATTCAGTAGCTGAAGAACTCTTTTAGGATTAGAAAACTCAAATTATATTCTTATTGATGTTTATGAAGTGGATGCAACTCCAGATTAATTTCATATTTCTAGATTAGTTGATCATATTTTTTTATTAAAACACTGAATTAAGTTATAGTAGCTTTCTGGAAATTGCATGAGATTTGCGATTACATTTAATCCATGTGATGATAAATCACTCCTTGGCCTGAATTTAACCTATATACAACCTAGTAAATCCAGTTACGTTAAAAAACCTGATATGGAAAAGATGATTTTAAATGTGGCATTGAATGATATAGCACGTTCAGTCCTTATCATATTTAAGTGTATAGAATTGTATGAAGATATGCAGCCCATTAAAATGTAATTTACAGTGGGAAAGGTCTGTTTTGCAAGTGGAATTTATTATAGGCGGGAAACAGCTGGTGAATGAAAGCTCCATTTGTCGCTGTGTGATTATATTTTCAACAGATCACATCACTTTTACTCAAATAGTGTTTTCATGACTTACAGTAGGTAAAAATAGATGGTTAAACAAGCTTTTTCAATTATGTTGCAGAATTTTTTGAATTAAATGAAATGTAATTGGTAATAGAAGACTTTTAGAATTTCAATCTACACATTCTGAGCCACTGTTTGGATGCATACTATTGTAACATTTATTCTGTTTTTTACTAAGGGCATGTCTACAGTAGGAAATTATTCTGAAATAAATAAATTTGAAATAACTCTCAAAATAAATATTTCAAAATAAACTTATTCTCTGAGGAAAGCAAGAGTACAGATTTTTAAATAACTGGCCTGTTATTTTGAAATAATAGGTTTGGTAGTGTGGACACCCCACTTTTTATTTTGAAATAAGGGGGGATATTTTGAAAAAATTCCCTAGTGTAGACCAGGGCTAACCGTTTTATAACACTGGAAATATAAGCATATGAAAAAATGTTCCATTTGGATTGCTATCACTTGTACTTCTAAACTAGCAAAATCACAATAATTTCTATTCTACTAGTTATTCTAAAAATATAAAGTTATTATATATGTGTATATTTCTGAAAATGTCATTTTAGAGGTCATTCTTTTTATCCTGTTGTTCTCCTTAGTATTTATCTATAATTTCACAGCACTATTTTGCACTGTCATTACCATGGAGATAAAGCTAACAGAAAAATCTACTGATTCCATGACAATAAGGATTCAGACTATTATCAATGAAGCATAAAATATGATGTTCAGTTCTTGTCACATTTTGTGGTAATTTGTTTTTATAAATAATTCAGTAAATAACCTTCTTTAGCTGTAACTTAGTTTAAAACATATTCTGAATGTCAAGACACTTTATGATTTGCAATGTTCTACAAAATTGCTTTTTTATATGGGAAATTGAAAATCCTGAGTAAGTGAACTGTAATGGTTTAAGCCTACAGTTCAGGTAAGACATTTTAACTATGCCTTACAGCTTTGCTTTTATAGACTACAGTAAGCATTTTTTTTGCTAAGTGTGTCTATACCCCATCAAGAAAAAAAAAAGGAGTATTAAAGTTGTATAGTTATGAATCAGAAGTCAAGGAATGACATGTGCAACTGCATTTCAATGCAGTCTTTAATTACATAATGTCATACTATTGCTCAAATAATAAAATACAACTTTTTACCTTACATTTTTTTCTGGAGACTTAGATACATTATACATGGGTAATATCTTGAAATATTTTTATGCTTTTAAATTCACACTATATTCATTGCTGTAGTGTCTGTTTTAACTTAAGGTATGTCTACACTACAGAAAAGATCAAAGCTGCCACAGAATTAGATGCACCACTCCAGTTGAGGCCTAAGCAATGTGCAATAGAGGGGAAGAGTTACTTATCATGTCTTACAACATTCCTGTTATACATGCCAGAATGATGGTTTTCTGGGGTGTGATTTTTTTTTTTTTTTTGCAACAGTAATACACTGTGCACTTATATTTAGCTTGTGGTTCATTATTACTACCGCCCTCCCAGCCATCCCTTTCTGCTGTACTCCTTCCTAAGTAGTCATATCCCTTTTTTTATGATTGTTCCTTCCTCAGCGGAGTAGCTTGCATTTGTCTTTACTGAATTTTACCTTACTTACTTTAGACCATTTGTTCAGTTTGTCCAGATCGTTTTGTATTTTAAAGAGAGATTTTGGAGTAATTTGGGATAGTTCTCTGAAAACATCCACTCAGGCTGTGTCTACACTGCACCCCTTTTCCGGAAAAGGGATGTAGATTAGACACTTTGGAATAGCAAAATCCGCGGGGGATTTAAATATCCCCCGTGGAATTTGCATTAACATGGCTGCCGCTTTTTTTCGGCTTGGGGAAAAGCCGGAGAAAAGCGGCAGTCTACACGTGATTCTCTGGAAAATAAGCCCTTTTCCGGAGGATCTCTTATTCCTACTTGAAAGTTATGAATCAGAAGTCAAGGAGTGACATGTGCTTGAAAGTAGGAATAAGAGATCCTCCGGAAAAGGGCTTATTTTCCAGAGAATCACGTGTAGACTGCCGCTTTTCTCCGGCTTATCCCCAAGCCGAAAAAAAGCGGCAGCCATGTTAATGCAAATACCACGGGGGATATTTAAATCCCCCGCGGATTTTGCTATTCCAAAGTGTCTAATCTGCATCCCTTTTCCGGAAAAGGGGTGCAGTGTAGACACAGCCTCAGTGTATAGCGACAGTCAAAAAAGAAAACAGAATGTTAGGAATCATTAAAAAAGGGGTAGAGAATAAGACCAAGAATATCTTATTGCTTCTATATAAACCATGGTATGCCTACATCCTGAATACTGTGTACAGATGTGGTTGCCTCATTTTAAAAAAGATATATTGCCTTTGGAAAAGGTACAGAAAAGGGCAACAAAAATGATTAGGGGTTTGAAACGGGTCCCATCTGAAGAGAGATTAAAATGACTTGTTCTTTTCATCTTAGAAAAAAGGAAACTAAAGGGGGATATGGTAGAGGTCTATATAATCATGACTAGTATAGAAAAAGTGAATAAAGAAAAGTTATTTACTTGTTCCCACAATATGAGAACTAAGGGTCACCACATTAAATTAATAGGCAGCAGATTTAAAACAAACAAAAGGAAGTTATTCTTCTCTCAGCGCACAGTCAACCTGTAGAACTTCTTGCCAGAGGATGTTGTGAAGACTAGAACTTTAACAAGGTTCAAAAAAGAGCCCGATAGATTCATGGAGGTTAGGTCCATCAATGGCTATTAGCCAGGATGGGCAGGAATGATGTCTCTAGCTTGTGTTTGTCTGGAAATGGATGACAAGAAGGGATCATGTGATGATTGTCTGTTGTGTTCCCTCCCTCTGGGGCATTTGATATTGTCTACTGTCAGCAGACAGGGTACTGGGCTAGATGGACCTTTGGTCTGACCCATTACGGCCATTCTTATGTTCTAACCTATTCTTCAATGCATTTAAAACTCCTCTCAGCTTGGTGTTATGCACAAACTGTATGTCATTAAACAATTGATGACGATATTTAAGGGACCCAGAACTAGTCCCTGTGAGATCCCACTTATTGTGCCCTTTCAATTTTAACTCTGAGCCACTGTTAACTACTTTCTGGGAATGGTTTTCCAACAAGTTGTGCACCCCTCTTATAGTAGCTCCACCTAGGTTGTATTTCCCTAGTTTGTTTATGAAAGGTCATGTGAGACAGTAACAAAAGGCTTTACTAAGGCCAAAAGATACCACACCTACTGCTCTCTTCCCCCCCCCGCCTCCCCCCCGGGCAAGGTTTGTTACCCTGTCAAAGAAAGCTATTAGGTTGGTTTTGGTTTGACATGATTTGTTCTTGACAAATCCATACTGACTGTTACTTATCACCTTATTATCGCTTAAATGTCTTCAAATTGATAACTTAATTACTGGATGTCCCAAATATCTTTGGGAATCAGTATTCCTAAATACTTCATGTAAAATGATTGGCATTGAAAATCACAATTTGAGAAAAGGCCTTTGTCAACTTATTTATCAATCCGTAAGATTTCTGATTTTATCCTAATTAATTTTAGATCCTGAGAAGAGTCCAACTTTACTAATAATGAACTGGTAGTCAGAATGGGCTTGGTTATAAATGCATTGTATGGATAGAGAGTAATTTTGTGCTCAGTTTGACTCACCCTGATACCATGAATATGTTGATTTACTTTGATGGCAAGAGTCAAAGTTTGTAGAGCTAAATCAAGCAGAAGATGTTAGAGGGGGCTGCTTTGTAGGTCTCTGAAATGGAAATGGGGCTGAAATATCATCATTGTTAATTATCCTAGAAGTCAATTTAGAAAATAAAAGTATTAATCCAAGCAATACATTCTTCATCAAATCCAAATTTTGGTAACAGATTCAAAAGATATTCAAAGGCAATGCGAACAATATTATTTTGGGCATTTGAAGCATTGACAGCTATGGGTTCTTCAGTGCAAATTAACTGAATCATATCTTTTATAAAAGTACCTGAT